TGCCAACCGACATAGTCTCAAGCAAACAAACCCTTTCCATTACCTACCATCCTCGATAATCAAGGTCATAATATCTCCACTCTGTGATGATCTATACTTAGGATCCATTCGCCACCACGTGTAGTTCAGTTTGAGTTTTTCAGTTCGGTTTATAGTTAATAATCTATAATATGGTCTCTGATTAAACCAAACCGTCAGTCAGACCAAATTACATTCATAAGCGAGAGAAAATGTCGGTTAGTGTTAACAATAGTGAGTCCAGGGTATTTTTCACGAAAATATAATACCCTTGAAAACCGAAGATGGTTCGGATCAGTGTACCTACCTATCCCGTACCTTGACGCAAAAACTCAGGTAGACAACGGTTTAACGGTCTGTGATCAGATCCGTCGCTGTCTGTGCAGGTAAATCTCTGCAGGAAAATGTCCAGGTTGTCTGATAACGGTGTGATGGCGCTCTGTCACTCGCATCCTTATCCTAATTCATTAATGCTCGCTAGATATATTCGCCTCCTCATCGATAACAGATAATGGTCGTGGCTGCAGGCGTCAGTGTGGTGTCGGTATCACCCTAGCCTGTCAGCGGTTATTCCGTTTTGCTGTAAAACATCACGAGTCACTGGGCGGTATCCGTGTGGGTCAGCGAGACAAGCTGTAAGGCAACTGGGCTTCAAACAGAACCAGCTTACTGAAGTCAGTGTGTGTTTGTAAGCCGGTTTAGAAGTAGCACAGCATGATTCTAAGCTGTCAAAACCTATTATGATAAGGAAGTTGTAAGGGACTTAGATCTAGACGTATATAGACTGCTGAAATTGAAACTGGATTTTACCAACAAAGTACTAACATTCAAGTCTGAAACAACAGGAACCGAAACACGGCAAACTAAAGGTCAACATCGCATGAAATGTTAATACCTAGCGCTTATCTTTGGGATGTTTCACTTACTCAGTCTACGGTGGGTAGCCTATTGATTAACGCGTTTGCTCGTCACGCCGAAGACCCGGGTTCGATTCCCCACATGGTTACAATGCGTTAAGCGCATTTCTGGTCTGGATATTGTTGGAATATTGCTAAAAGCGGCGTAAAACTAAACTCACTCACGCATTCACTCTACCAGACGTCTTCCTCCCAGCACTGGCGCATTAGGAGGAAGCTGAATAAGCGGTCGGTAGGTCCTGAGTGAGTGAGATTAGTTTTACGCCGCACTCAGCAATATTCCAGCTATCTTGACCAGACAATCCAGGGTACAGCATGAACATCGATCTACGCAATTGGGATGCGATGACATGTGTCAACCCAGTCAGCGAGCCTGACCACCCGATCCCGTTAGTCGCCTCTTACGACAAGCATGGGTTGCTCGGTAGATCCTGAATTCGAGTCCACGGTAATAGAGGAAACTTTCCTAAATTTTCGGTTCGGCGGCCAAAATGCAATTGGTCGGGCGATGAGAAACACATACATATACGTGATGTCCTTACAACAAACCTGCCTGGCGCTCGGCATTAATGGGTACAACAAGGACTGGTCGGCTCGGAGTCAGTATAATGTGTCTGAGTGGGGTAGTCATGCTTCACTGCGTCATGGTATCTCAGTGAGCTAGCACTATAAAACCAGCTGAAGTCTGGGCTAGTTCAAGCAGCCACATGTACACACGCATGCACGTCGTCATATGTGCGAAATATTCTTAAGTGCGACGTTAAACCCCATTTCACCTCACCTCACCTTACCTCACCTCACCTTCTAGCAAAACCCTAGTAGCCCCTGTTGGCCGTAAGAGACGACGTCACAGATAAAGTTGATTGTGTCACCGCGCACCGACTGTTTATTGTCATTCCTAATGTCAATCACTGGGTTATTGCCAGTCTCGATTACTTACAAGCTGACGTCATATAGCTTGATTACCTTGCTTGAATCAGGGCATCTTGCGAACTTTGAACCGTTCTTCATAGTGAGTGAGTGAGTGAGTTTGATTTTACTCCGCTTTTAGCAATATTCCAGCAATATCACAGCGGGAATGACAAGTCTTTATGGATCTTCTTTATTGAACAATGTCGACGTTTCGGTTTAGATGCCTATATCGTTTCCTCATGTTTGAAAATGGTATATGTGTATATACCGAAACGTTGCTATTGTACAATAAAGAAGTTGATCATCTATAAAGACTTGCCATTCCTATTACTTACAACGTCTGGGGACACCAGAACAGGGCTTCACACATTGTACCCATGTGGGGAATCGTGACGAGCGAACCCTTTAACAACATGTCTACTTTATAACTTGTATGTGATTTATAATTTTATTATTAAATACGTTGGCTGCTGTAAGTAGGAAAATTCTAGTGTTGACGATGAATTTCATGTATTGCATATTTATATTAGGTTTTTAATCTCAATCTCAGACTCAATCGTATTTAAATGCAGAAACGTCAACAGACATTGATTAATGTTCTAAATTCGAAGTATTTTAATCACATCCACTCTCCAGTCTTGTACCTGATCTTGTGTTGCTTTTATACAAAACCTTCTCTTAATATTCATACATCCATTTTCACGTGACAAATTATTCTGCTCTGAAATTGTACTGTGGGTGACTGGGCCTTTAATACTGAATACAAATAACTGGGCCTTTAATACTGAATACAAATCACTGGGCCTTCAATACTGAATACAAAGCATTGGGCCTTTAATACTGAATACAAATCACTGGGCCTTTAATACTGAATACAAATCATTGGGCCTTTAATACTGAATACAAATCATTGGGCCTTTAATACTGAATACAAATCACTGGGCCATTAATACTGAATACAAAGCATTGAGCCTTTAATACTGAATACAAATCACTGGGCCTTTAATACTGAATACAAAGCATTGCGCCTTTAATACTGAATACAAATCACTGGGCCTTTAAAACAGAATACAAATCACTGGGCCTTTAAAACAGAATACAAATCACTGGGCCTTTAATACTGAATACAAAGCATTGAGCCTTTAATACTGAATACAAAATCACTGGGCCTTTAAAAATACAGAATACACTGGGCCTTCAATACTGAGTACAAAGCATTGGGCCTTTAATACTGAATACTGAATACAAATCACTCACGCCGAAGCCATTAATACTGAATACAAAGCATTGAGCCTTTAATACTGAATACAAATCACTGGGCCTTTAAAACAGAATACAAATCACTGGGCCTTTAATACTGAATACAAAGCATTGAGCCTTTAATACTGAATACAAATCACTGGGCCTTTAAAACAGAATACAAATCACTGGGCCTTTAAAACAGAATACAAATCACTGGGCCTTTAATACTGAATACAAAGCATTGAGCCTTTAATACTGAATACAAAGCATTGGGCCTTTAATAATGAATACAAAGCATTGGGCCTTTAATACTGAATACAAATCACTGGGCCTTTAATACTGAATGCTACTGACTGTAATACTGCCGAATGCGTGATAATTGCAGACAAATATTATCTCAACCTTGGGCATCATATTGACAATTGACACCTTATCTTATAGCGAGTTGTGACGTCCGATCTGGATATTTCGACTAAAAAAATATGAAGAAAAATCGAGTTGTTAATGGGTAACAAAACACCCAATGTTGTGTATCTGAGTGCTCTGTCCATACATCGTCCCCATACAATGATGTCGAGCTCGTAGACGTCTAAAGTGACACGACTCTGATTTCCATGAAGCCACCATGATCACCATACAGATGATGGAGGGCTCTATTTACCGAGGTACGTACATGCCCATGTTAAGATTAAGTGAGTGAGTGAGTGAGTTGGGTGTTACGCCGCTATTATCAATATTCACGGCGGAGGAAACAAGAAATAAGCTACACACGTTGCAGCCCTGTGGGGAATCGAACACGAAAATGCGTAACGGGCGAAAGCTTTGCCTACTAGGCTACACCACCAAAACCTGTATTAACAACAAAAGTGATTATGAAGAGTGAGTGAGTGAGTTTAGTTTAAAACCGCTTTTAGCAATATTCCAGCAATATCACGGCGGGGCACACTAAATATGGACTTCACACATTGTACCCATCTGGGGAATCAAACCCGGGTCTTCGGCGTGACGAGCGAACGCTTTAACCACTAGGCATCCCCCACCGTCCCTGATTATGAAGAGGTAGACAAGAGACAAAAGAGTGGGTTAGTGAGTGAGTCTGGTTTAAAGCCGCTTTGAACAATATATCGGTAAAACCACTGGTATCTTCGCGAGAAACGACTAAAGCCCGACATGATCTTACACGTATAACATTGCGCTAGCGATCCAACGAACACGGCCGGTTAATCTGCAGAGTATCCTAGACAAGTCTATAATCATTGCTCCACCACTGTTGAGGAAATAACTCCTCGCTATTTTTAATATTTTCCTGTTATTAGGTGGAGTGTTAAGTGTGTTGAGGAACAACATAGGGAGGCTGCCGCACTGGTTATCACGTGACCTCTATACGCAACACTATGGCCTCAAGGAATAATAGCCTGGTTCCGCTATGAGCCAAATATTTGTATTTTCGAAAAACGGATCCTCTAATATGGCTTCCAATTGCAGGATGCAAAGTCTGTGACAATACTGATTACAAATTGTGAGCTAACCTGTAAAATGACCGACTTCTGAACGACCAGCCATGTTTTGACAGCGGCATTCCGGTGCTACCACATCGTTATAGCGCGAAGATGGTAAGTTTCAGATTAGCGCTTCCCCACATTCATCTCTATAAGAATCCTGTTAAGGGCTGGCTTTAATTTTGTGTATAACACGTGCATTGATAAATAAATCTCTATATCTGTCCGTGTACCTAAAAACAGCAAGAAAACACCTCAAAGCAGGGCATCCACACGTGTAGTGCATCAGGTGATAGAGTTAGGCGAAAAGAGTGTTGCCGCTTTATTTCGGGGAGGGATGGTTCCGCATCCGTCTTCAAGCTATCCGACTGCCGGAGAAACAAATCAGATGGGATTTGACAGCGGCACTTACCTTGTTCCGTTAACGTGCTGGCTGTGATGTGAAATCTTTGTCCGCTCTCTGGTGAAGAACTGCAGGAAATCGTTTCCCTTCTCAACTCAGGAGTCGGTCAAATTATCATGTGCAACCTCACCACTGTCGTCTGCTGCAAGCGCGAAGCCTCGCTTTCGTTCCAAGCCTAATGAACGACTTTAGGCATTTAGTTATTTTCAGTAATTAGCGACTGATATCGCCTCTCGCTCAGACGAGACCTCTTCTGCGCCTTGGCTACTTTTGGGGAATCCTTTCACATCTTTCATTGATCGAAGCCATAATTACGGCACTGTCACTTCCCACAGTTATCGATCTTCTAGGGAACAAGCGCGAGATGGATGAAGCACTACCTCAAATACGTCATACATCTTATAATATCCAAAATTGGCAACAAATTGCAGCAAAGCCATCCAAACTGAGCTATCTGTGCACGACTTGTCAAGAACATCTTCGCGAACCGTCGCGCACATGACCTTGACCCTGTCGACAACAAACATTGGGTTTACATCGTTGTAGTCGGTGTTTCACGTATAGTGGGTTTAGTTGGCGTGGGTGATGCAGATAGTCTTCCATGTAGCAGAATCCTACCATCAGGGTTCGGCGTGGATTGAGTAAGGGTTCTAACCCGCGGATGGTCAAAGCGCTTAGATTACCAGGGTGCCACCCTTGTCCAAGTCAAATCGTCAAATAATACTTCAAATGATACATCGGTGTGACACAATCTGTTATAACGGACAATGTGTATGTCCTGCACGTGATCCCCACCAATGTATCATTTAAAAATGTTATAACATGGCCGTGGTCATACTCAAAATATGCATATAAAAGTGTTAAACCATGTTCTTGGACACCCGACAAAACGTCTTATCTAATGTTCAGACATGCCCGTGGTGACCAGACGAGGTGTCGTATCAATTGTTATAACATGCCGTTGGTCACCCGACAGTATGTCACACACCAATGTTATAACACATCCGTGGCCACCCGAGAGTGTGGGTGTTTTGGTGTTGTTTTACGCCGCACTCAGCAATATTCCAGCTATATGACGGCGGTCGGTGAATAATGGAGTCTTGACCAGACAATCCAGTCGGGATACGATTACGATGACACGTGTCAACCAAGTCAACGAGCCTGACCACCAATGTTCTAACCCGGGTCTTCGAGGGTGTTGCATATTGATGTTAAAGGCGTGCTGTTGGCTTGACCATGCACCGGTCACACTTTTCGTGTCCATCCTTGACCACACCGCGTCCGGTCGAAGATACGTCAATAGGTTACGGAAACATACGACAAAATGGATACGGCTTTTTGTGACGCCGAAAGGATTCCATGCAATATTAATTATTGTCAGCCCTCACAAATGTCACACGTCATTATGTGCGAATCATTATTTCCCGGCGACCGACGTGGTCTATATGTATTACTGTTCTGTAAGACATCTGCAGGAACATGGAATGCTGTGTATAATTGTATAGGGCAATCACGCATCGCAAATTTGGTCTACATTGGTCTGTGAGAATTCAGGTTTGTTATATGAGGTTAGCGTGTAGACATGAAGCTGTTAGTTGTCCATTTGTGTTTTTAACAGAAGCCTGAAATTCATATAATGTTTTGGAAAGATTGTGACAAGAACGAGAGGGAGACAGTGACCTTCACCTTGCCTGCGACGTGTGGCCTTAGCCTGAAAAATGAGCGAGTATGGTTTTACGCCGTTTTAGCAATATTCCAGCAATATCACGAAGAACACCAGAAATTGGGTCCATTTTATATTTTACCCATTTGGGGAACGAACTGTGGTGTTGTGTCTGACGAGAATAACGCTTTAACAACTTGATTAACACACACACACACCCACACCCCACACCCCTCCGGAGAACAATGACTAATAGTAGTCAAGCGTTCCTCTTATCGGGAATTTTAAGACAAAGTACACCAAATATGACATTTTGCAAAAAATTGCGAAAAGTCCCAGATGAAATGTTATGGTTAATTGCACAGAGATTTGTTCTTCTGAACGTGTCTGTGTTGATATAGCATTCTGAACACGTTTTTGTGTCATCTTTAAAAACTACTTTTGAGCAAACAATGTGATTTCCAGATCCATTGGTAATAGTGTTCTGCGAAGTCTGTGAGACTTAAGTAAAAAATACAGAACACATACATTTTGGGGATTGTTTTAAAAAAATTGTCATATTTGGTGTACTTCATTTTAAGATTTCTGATAAGACGTCAGCTGTTTAGTTTTGGTGTTATTTACAACACTGAAATGGGTCTACTCCCATTTGTGAGAACTCCCAGTTGTGAGACTCCCAGTTATGAGATAGTGGAGTAGGTAATTAACAACGAAAACACACCATACTCCCCTGTCTGATAGAATGGATTCACCCTAGCTAATTACTGATTTGCTATGTAACTGAATCTTGTGGAGGTAACTTAATGACACTTTATAAGATAAATTGTTTAACATACTCAGGTAAATGTCTTTAATAATTAAACACTTTGTGTAGGTAACTTCGTGATCAAAGAGAAATTAATTTACCTACTCAGATTTATTCCGTCTCCGAAACTACAAGCTATAGTTTAAGAAATAACTCTGAAATAACTCTGAAATTTACAGTCGAAATGACCCTTATGCCAAACCCTCTCTACCCGACACAATAAATTTATGGAATGCCCTACCAAATTCCAAAGAGTCATGCAGTCTCAAAGAATTTTAAAACCTAATTACAAAAGCCGAAAACAAGATTTATATTGATCTTAATTATGGCTCTTGTTTTTGTCAAATCGTTCATTGCTGCCTCAGGCTCGGATCTAGCGACTCAAACGCCGATAAGTATAACAGACATTTAATAGACAGTGCATGTTGCTCTTGTGGATATCAACTACCCGTTATAACCTGGATAATTTTTTGAACGGAAACAAAGAATTTACTCCTTGTGTAAACCAGAAAATAGTTGAATCCGTCCACGATTATATCATCGAGATACAACCTTAAAGTTTTCACAGGGAAATACTGAAATTAACTCAACAACCTTCTCTTGATTGATTTATATTCCTACAATAGCTTGTTAGACACACACACCTGTAAGTCTCTAATTATGACTACTTAGAAAATAGTTGTATTTGATGTAATCTGTATATATTTATATGTACTTAAAAATATATTTATGCAATAGTCAATATCGATGACGTCACATCCTCCATTTCAGTTTATATTTTATGTTGCATGGGAGCGGTGTTAACATAAGCAGTAATACTTCACCAATCCCAATTGATTTTCATAAATAATAATAAAATATGTTTAAACCAAAATGACTTTCAAACTTCATAATAGTCAATAAAAAGGTGTTATCATAATTACATATTCTTCTGAATAAATAAAATATTCAATGAACTATTTCTTCTGTTTAAATATAATCTTTGATAATCTATTTCATTAATCAATTCATCAATGAACTATGCCTCCTGTGGGTACTGGGCTGATCCCACTTTCATTGTAGGGATGTGAAAACACCACCTATGTGCACTGAACCATTAATTAATGTGTCTCACAACTGGGAGTTCTCACAAATGGGAGGACACCCTGAAATGTGTCCATTTTGTTAGAAAGTTTAGCAATGAATACGTGCTTGCTCGCCACAAGTGACCCAGTAGGATACAACGCTATTCACTGCGGAAATACAGTGTTGTAATTTATAGAGTGAGTGAGTTTAGTTTTACGCCGTTTTGGGCAGTATTCCAGCAATATCACGGCGGGGGACACCAGAAATGTGCTTCACACATAGTGCCCACATGGGGAATCGAACCGATGTCTTTGGCGTGACGAGCGAACGCTATAACCACTAGGCTACCCCACCGCCCCTATAATTTAAAGAATATAAACGCAGAGTTGTGAAAACCGTGAGTATTGTTCATATTGTTTTATACATTGTTTTATTTTACAATTAATGTGTTTGTCAGTTTAATGAAGACACAGTGCTGTGATGCCGCCATGTTGTTGCCAAAGTTGTGTTGTCCAATCAGATGTTGCGTACCGATCTGACCTGAACTGTGACGCGGTGCATCATGGGAGACGAGCTGTTTTCATCAACGTTGGCATCAGGAGCTGTTCTACTTTCATACAAACTGATGACCAACACAGAGATTGTGATCTTTATGTAATCTCAAACAGTTTACGATCTACTTAGACACGGTTCAGTGGTGGGGAAGTTATGACATAACGTTGACCATGACCTTTTAGTGGTAGTAGTATATTTTTATTAAAGTGTCACCCGCACAAGAACATTTTACAGACAATACATTATACAACAGTAAAAACCGTGCGTCGAGCCACAAACTGGCTTATGAGACACTAACAACATATACTAGTATAGTATACTAGTATACAGTAATAAAGATTTACATAAATCATCTCAATGACATTTCCCGTATTTTAAACATATTTAGAAGTGAAGAGGCTGAAATACTTTGCATTTTTTTACCTTCATAAGAACTAAAAACTTGTTGGTATCATTTAAGTTATGAAATAGATGGTTACATTAAAAAGGCAGCTCCAAATAAGATAAATCATAACTCCTCATAAAAATTACATTTTAATGTTTTCCTGCAATGTAAAAGTCCCGAGTAGAGAAAGCAAGCACTCACGCCGCAGTATAAGTGCTTTATTCTTAAACGTGGCGTTCACCTTACCTCCAACAATCGAGTAATTTCGTCACTCACTCGAAAATAATTATATACTATTCTAAAAGAAGGCTTATTCAACATACAGGTGTCACTTTTGATATTTTATCTCTTATAATGATACATGGTTTAACAGTGTGACAGTGGCATCTTACTGATATTTGCAGTAGAACGTGTAAGATCATAAGCCCAAGCACATTCTGTCCCTTAAACAGCCCAATCCACAAAGTATTCGTAACGTTACGACCTGTCGTAACTTTACAGTTTACCATAGACCACGAATAGCGTAGCGCTACGAACGCTTGTTGGATCGAGACCTTGTCTCGGTGATAACTACCTATACAGGAATCTATATGAAAATAACTAGAAATGCGAAGCCAGAGGGGTGTGATTAACTCAATTTATTCAGACAACATATTAGATAATCGATCAAGTGGAACAGACCCACAACGACACCTCAGCTTGATGAACCAATTAGGGTAATTAGCCTAATCACTCAAGCAGAACAACAGTCGCCACGCAAACAAGAGACAGCCAAACGGCTGGCTCTACAGAAATACACAGATAGGCAATAATCAAGCCCGTGACACTGTTGAGGTAATGAAGGCATGATTGCAAATCACTCACAGGAT